ATATACATTATATATATATATATATATATATATATATATATATATTAGTTTGAATTTGTTTTGGTGACTTCATCAAATAAAAGCCTCCATTGCACATACAAATTAACTAGTTACGAAGTGGTTAGTTTCTGATAGTGATGGTGCTTTCAGATTTATTATCTTAGCCTCCGCGGATCCACAAATTTGACAATTTTTGAGAATCACTTTTTACATGATCTAGTTCCATGTACACCATTTGAGGTTGCAAAATGGAATGTCTTTTTGGGAACTGAATGCTAAGAAACCGACGTTTGGTGGCTTGTTCAATGAAGCAATGGAGGCGGACTCCAAACTTATCGCAAGGGTGGCAGTGGAAGAGTGTGGAGGAGTTTTTGAGGGTTTGAAATCCCTGGTTGATGTTGAAGAGGGTACATGAACAATGGCCAAAGCCATTGCCTATGCATTCCCCAACATCAACTGCACTGTGTTTGACCAGCCACATGTGGTGGCTGACTTGGAAGGGATGGCCCATAATTTGGGTTTTGTGGGAGGAGACATGTTTGATAAAATACCTCCAGCCAATGCAATTCTGCTCAAGATAAGATACCTCCATCTCATCCTTGATTGTCTTTGCAAAGTTCTAGCTAGCTAGTTCAAATCGTTTGTTAAAATCCTAGCTATTGGATTATATATTTAATCAAACACATAAAATTGACACATTTGTTATGTACACTCTAATCAGGTGGAACCCTACAATGGAATCCTAACAGACTATGTTCCAAATTTGGCATGTATACATTATTGATGTAGTTGCGTTTACATATCCTCTAGATTAATTTGGGTCAATGTTGTGACTAACTAAGTAACGTATGTGATTCGAGATCTATCTTAGTGGATTCTGCATGATTGGAATGATGAAGAAAGCGTGAAGATATTGAAGAAGTGTAGAGAATCAATGCTTCTAAGCAAAAATGAAGGAAGGGAGAAGATTATCATCATAGACATAGTTGTGGGGTATGATAAGAAATCATTGAAACCCAACTCATGTTCGATATGTTGATGATGTCCACCGTCACCAACAAAGAGCGTAGCGAATCAGAATGGGAGAATATCTTTTTGGCTGCTGGATTCATTCACTATAACATCACTCATACGCTTAGTTTGAGGTCTCTTATTGAAGTTTACCCTTGAGTTAAATCATCAGGCTAGTATTGTATATATGTGGATCGTACTATGCAAATAAAGAATACTTAAGAAGTAGCAGGGCACCTTATTTTTCAAGTAAAGTGTGTCAACTATGATTCAACGCTTATTACTTCCGTTATCATTGCAAGCTTTAGATGATCAATGAATGCAAACTACACCCAGAACGTGTTGCGTCATTTTAATTAGCATAAAGCGAAGCCTTCAAGTACTTCAATGATCGTTCGATCACTAAATGCAAAACGAGATCATTTTCTTCCTAAAGAGGATGAGGAAGAAGCTTTGGAGCCTGAAGTTCTATATCTAAGTACAATTTGCTACTTAGCTACAGTGCATTAGACCATACATCTTTTTCACTATTAATCTTTTGGCAAGATATATCCACACGCAGACACTGGACAGGTGTTAAAGGCATTCCGCTACCGAAAAAATACAACATATTTAGGTTTGGTTTATCCTAAGAATCCTTGAGAAGAGCCGCACCCTTCCTCTGTTCTCGGCTTAGTTCTCGGCTTAATTCAATCCTTGTTGGTTATGCTGACGTAGAGTACTTATCTAGCCTGCATAAGGCTAGCCCTACGTGAAGCAACTAGGAAGTGTTTATGGTTGAGAGCAGCAATGGAACATATTAGAAGCACCTGCGGATTTTCATTCATCGTTGACATCCTTACAACGATCTATGAAGATAACACAATATGTATTAAACATCACAAGAAGAGATACATCAAAGAAGACAACACCAAGCAAATTACGTCGAAGTTCTTTTTCTCTCATCAGTAACAACATAGGAAGATTGAAGTCACACAAATTTGTTCCTAGGACAACCTAGCCGACCTTTTCACCAAATCTTTGCTGAAGACTACTTTCTAGAAGCTTGTCAAGGAATTGTTATGCGTAAACTTTCTAAGTTGTAACATTGTTAGTTCTCTTTGGAAATATGTCAAACTCAAGGAGAATATCTTGAAGTATACTTGCTTGATCTTAATGTAATCTTTTTTCCTACGATAAGGAGCATTTTTCCCTTTGGATTTTTGCTACCTAATGAGGTTTTAACGAGGCACCCATCATGAGTTGGTCATTCTCTTGTGTACGGCCCATAGATGTTTAATTGGCCTTGCCTTAACTCACCTTTTTTCCTTAGACTATGAGTTTTTGTCCCATATTGGGTTTTACCATAGCCAGGTTTTGTGAGACTTATTTCCATATGCAAGTTCCCTTGTTTGAGACTATCTTGCTAACAAATCAGTCCTGATGAGTTGACTTCGCCAATTTTACCCGACGACGAATCTACTTGAGTATTTACACACTTAAGGGGGATTGTTACAGATATTCTTTAATTGTGATTATGTAAATCTTAGATATATCAGGGTCCTAGATTATCTATTACTCTAGTTATTCTTTCCCTATAGAATTGTATTTACTTGGAAGATAAGTTGATCCTCTCCTCTTATTCTACTATAAATAAATGCACTTCTTAGGGAGGAATACACACACAATGATCCCTAAGCATTCTACAATCTCGCCACTCTCTCTTTGCCTCACCCCCTCTAATTCCCTCAATTAATTATAGGCCACAACAAAAACCTAATTTTCTGGATTTAAATATTAAGTTTTAACCTGAGGGTTTGAGATAGTCTTAAGTTATTTTTTGTTAAGAAAAAGTTTAGGAAATCCCTTTTCATTAAACCTCTCAAAAAATTTGAGGTAAACTAACGAAAAGGGTTTGAAAACTTTGAGTTTTAACAATAAGGGCAAAATAAAAGGTAAAATAAATAGTATTAGGATTGACTTTTTAGTGTAAAAATATGATTTTCTGTTAAAATAAACAGTACTGAGAATTTTTTATTAAAGTATCAAAAAATTTATAGTGTCCCAAAGTACAACTTTTAGTTTTAATTTTTGTGATTTCGGAATTCGGTGGCTAATGACATATAGAATTAATTAATATTATCGTCACGCATACAAGATAAGGGTGTGGCACGGATATCAATGTATCCAGTCATCAGATGGTCCTATTAGGTGTGCCGATTTAGATCTAGATTCTTACGTGCTCCACAATATCTTATGCTATCCAATACTGTACAGTGCTTTCACATCACTGTAACGTGCAAGAAAAGTTTCAAATCTGTAGTCAATAGTGTACTTCTGGAAAAATGGCTTGTTTTATATTTTCTTTATTGCATGTGATGTAATTACCCTATGCTATGCTTAGAGGAAAGTCATGCCATGAACTCGAAACGCAGTGATTGAAGACAAAAATATTATGCATGCTTTTATCGTTGCTTTCGTACTCTACATTAACGTTGCTTGTTAGGTCTGCACTAGCTAGCTGCTTCCATTCCCTTTAAGGTTTGTTTTGTTTACATAACGAAGATTCAAGAGATCAATAATTTGATTTATTTTTATGTGCATCAAATTACATATGAATCGAATTAGAGCAGTAAATAGTGAATTGTACGAGAACAATATATTTCTGCCTCCCTCTTATGTTCTCGAACAGTCTCCCATCATAGATTTCACGTTGAATTAATTTTTTCTTCTTCTTGTTTAATTTGTTTTATTAGCTGTTTCTTATTAATTTAGATTAGTATTTTTTATTAAGAATTATAATCCACATCTTCTATGTGTAAAGCCGGAGGCTAGTTTTGGTGTCACGTCTTCGACAAAAGATTAGGACAAAATTGCCCCTCAACCAAGAAAATCCAAAACCAATCTAATATAATATATCAAATAATGCAAGGGTAATTTGGTCATCAAAAAATATAATATAAATATAAGCGGGAAGAGATAAAAGAATAAAAAAATGAAAGGATGGGTGAAAGTTGATGGTGCCCACGTGAAGGGCAAAGAAAAATATAATAATAAATAAGAAAAATCATGAATATTGTGTTCAAACATCTTAAGAGGCGTATAATGCTGGTTATAAAAAAGGTCTTTCGCACACGGATAATAATGTGATTAAATAAGTTGTCAAATGATTTTTTTTTTTTTTAACAAACGATATTATCTACACTAAATGGAAGGCGGGTGAGCTTAACCTCATAATGAGTTAGCAATAATGTGATTCAATTAGTTGTTTATTAAATATTATTTTCTTTATAAAAAAATGTCTTTCACATGCGGATAATAATGTGATTAAATTAATTGTCAAATGATTTTTTTTTAAACAAACAATATTATCTACACTAAGGGGGAGGGGTGGGCTGAGCCTTACAATGGGCTAACAATAATGTGATTCAATCAATTATTTATTAAATATTATTTTCTCTATTCTTAACGTAAATTCTATAGAAACCGATTTTATTATATGAATTTAGTTGCTTTAATTGATTTATGAGGGGTTTCTTCTAGCATGATCTAAAATTATTCATTTACTTCAAATATTTGACTTTGGTTTTGTCAATTTACGCATATAAATACATTTAAAATGTATAAGCCGTGTGTAGCACTATTCATTCGATTTGTTATCATGTAAGCCCAATTTACATTGAATAAAATTTTTTTTGAGATAATTTTTAAATGATAATAAAAAAAATGAACGGTTTTGATTTTAATAAATTTTAATATTTGCTTGATAGCACATTGGCATGTAAAAATTAATAAAATGTGACATGTAAGAAGTTAAACAATGTACTTTAACCATAGTAATCTAAGAACTTTACAATTGAGATTTCGTAAAATTAATAGCTATATTTCGCAGTTGCCGGTTGGCACGATATATATGAATCTATATATAATCTTTATGCATCATCTTCCAATACCAAATCTTAAATCATCCTACATATCCCATCACTCCCCTTTTTTTTTTTTTTTTTTTTTTTAAATAAATTAGAAAGCAATGTAATGCATGCTTAACGTGTGCATGAAAGATGAACCGTGTCGAAACTATGTCGAATATATATTTTTTTTTTCCATATGCACTCGACCTGTGCGATATAAACTGATCCAACGTATCCCATTTTTCAAAATTCATAGCAAGAGAAGAATCAATCAAAATATTCTCGAAGCTACATACTTGATCTATACTTACACGTACACACACATATGGCTTTGAGTAATCGTGAAGTGGGTGCCACTAGCCATGAGCTTCTCGGAGCTCAAGCTCATGTTTGGAACCACATCTTCCAATTCATAAACTCCATGTCACTCAAATGTGCAGTTCAACTTGGCATCCCGGACGTGATTCACAACCATGGCCAATCCATCTCTCTTTCCGAGCTTATCGCCGGGCTCAATGTCCACCCTTCGAAGGCTCATTTCATCTCACGCCTCATGCGGATCCTCGTTCACTCCAATTTCTTTGCACAACATCATCATGTTCATCATAATCATGACAATGTGGAGGAAGAAGAAGCTGTTGAATTGTATAGCCTAACACCGGCTTCCAGGCTTTTTCTCAAAGATGGGCCAGTAAACACCACACCATTTTTACTCATGATACTTGATCCGGTAATGACAGACCCATTTCACTCAATGGGCGCTTGGTTACAGATGAATGGTGGCGATGATCTAGTTCCACGTACACCATTTGAGGTTGCAAATGGAATGCCTTTTTGGGAATTGAGTGCTAAGAAACCGAGGTTTGGTGACTCGTTCAATGAAGCAATGGAGGCGGACTCCAAACTTATCACAAGGGCGGTGGTGGAAGAGTGTGGAGGAGTTTTTGAGGGTTTGAAATCCCTGGTGGATGTTGGAGGGGGAACAGGAACAATGGCCAAAGCCATAGCCAATGCATTCCCCAACATCAACTGCACAGTGTTTGACCAGCCACATGTGGTGGCTAACTTGGAAGGGACGACCCATAATTTGGGTTTTGTGGGAGGAGACATGTTTGATAAAATACCTCCAGCCAATGCAATTCTGCTCAAGGTAATAATTTAACACACACAATTATTTATCTTAATCTTTGTTATTCCTTAGTCAATGTCCTTATCAAATCAATACCTTGTTGCTAGTAAAAACATCTCATCCTTGATTGTCTTTGCAAAGTTCTAGTTAGCTAGTTCAAATCGTTTGTTAAAGTCCTAGTGGATTATATTTAATTAGACACCCACACATTTGCTAAGTACAGTCTATCAGGCGGAACCCCACAATAATGGGATCCTAATAGAGTATGTTCCAAAATTTGCATGTATACATTATTGATGTAGTTGTGTTTACATATCCTCTAGATTAATTTGGGTAAATGTTGTGACTAACTGAGTAACATACATGAATCATGACCTATCTTAGTGGATACTGCATGATTGGAATGATGAAGAAAGCGTGAAGATATTGAAGAAGTGTAGAGAAGCAATGCTTGTGAGCAAAAATGAAGGAAGGAAGAAGATTATCATCATAGACATGGTTGTGGGGTATATCAATAACAAGATGCAGTTGGATAAGAAATCAATTGAAACCCAACTCATGTTCGATATGTTGATGATGTCCATCGTCACCAGCAAAGAGCGTAGCGAATTAGAATGGGAGAAGATCTTTTTGGCTGCTGGATTCACTCACTACAACATCACTCATACGCTTGGTTTGAGGTCTCTTATTGAAGTTTACCTCTGAAGTTAAATCATCAGGCTGGTATTGTTTATGTGTGGATTGTCCCATGCAAATAAAGAAAGCCCAAAAAGCAGCAGGGCACCTTATTTTTCAAGTAGAGTGTGTCTGCAACTATGATTCAATGGTTATTACTTCCGTTGGTGTTGTAAGCTGGTGATCAATGAACTCATACGCTCGGTTTGAGGTCTCTTATTGAAGTTTACCTGTGAAGTTAAATCATGGCTGGTATTGTATGTGTGTGGATTGTACTATGCAAATAAAGAATGCCCAAAAAACAACAGGGCACCTTATTTTTCAAATAGAGTGTGTCTGCAACTATGATTCAACGGTTTTTACTTCTGTTGTCGTTGCAAGCTGGTGATCAATGAATGTGAACTTTCGATGCTCGGAAGGAGTCTTCCCGCCGAAGGTTTACTGTTCGAACCACACTGCTCTAATCTTGAATGCTTTCCATAAACCTCATCTGAAATGATCCTCTTACGGAATCCTGCAACGAAAACAAAGATATATTTCTCATTGTCAATTGGCCAAACAGAGACAAAATTAACTATTTTAACCAACTCAACTGACAACTGCAATTCATTGGGAGTTGTACTGCTACTTCCTCCATTAGTACTAGTACTCTCTTTTCTACCGTCTTCCTCCGGAATGTGATCGCGTCTCTTAACCAAGACAAAAACTAAGTGAAACTCATCACTGTCATAATTGTCATCATTATCCCTATTCTCCTCTGGATTAGTCCGAACTGACCAAACTTGAACTACATCACCTACACCTAGATGGTGCTTTTCAACAATGTGATACATACTGTTCGGGCAAAGATTTCTCTGGAGAAGGCTCATTGGACCTCAACACAGCTCCCCAAGGGATTGGCACTTTAGATGTGTAGTCGGGCTATTGCTTGTTGATGTGCTACAAGAAGAGAACAAAGTTAGTTCTGAAAGGTGTCTTTGTGAAGCCTTAGGTGTAGGCCTTGAGGCTCGCAATCAAAACTAACTAAGTGCTAGGCATGCTACTGCTATCTCAGTATAGCAGATGTAGAACAAGTGTGTTTTAAGTCGATTACTCGAGTCCCAAGTTACTCCAACTTCTTGTTATCCAAGGATTGTTATAGATGGGTTAAGTCTATATTAAATTCTTTTTCTTGCCTTGTAAACAAGGACTTTTAGTTCATGGTCTTGTATGTTCGAATGAAGGGAGTCCAGAGCACCTTAAGTCATTTGTTTGGTCCTAGACTGCTTTTAATGAAAACATATCCATTAAACTAACTGGATCCAAATGCAAATGGGACTCTTAAAAAAGAAAAACAGGTGGAAATAACTTGAATACATGCTGGAGAATGCATTAAGCAATAGATCTACTAATTTAGAAAACAAACAAAGAGCTTCGGGCAAGATTTCACCTTGTCTAGCAAGGTTGAACTTCTTGTAGTCATTTCTCTTTGTATTTACAAGGTTTATATGTTGAAAAGGGATGGATGGTAAATAAGTTTACACAAGGGAATCAATACTACAACACTAAGGGAGGTAGCAGAGCTTTTATACTAGACAAGAGATAGCTTTTCTAAAGAATTATCACTAAACGGACTGAATCTGGGTTGATTTCAGCTTTTGGATACAAAACTGGCTTGAGAGTAGAGTTTTTATGTTTGTTTGTTTAATTGGTTGAGTGTCTTTGACTCTGTTGTCTTTTCTTCCTTTTATAGGCAGTTTGGCCCGACTGCTGTAGCTTTTGCTTTTGCCCGAAAGCATTGGAGGGTATTGAGTCATCAACTGTTTACTAATAATGCCACTGGAAAGTGTTATTTGGCTGATAGTAGGTTAGTCTCCATCACTTGTCACTTCACTTATAGACACATGGCTTGTATCTTGGCTGAGAAGGCTTCAGTTTTGCTTTTGGGTTCGATGCAGGGCTTTGGGCAAGTCTTCCTTTAATTTGGTATCTTTGGGCTCCCCTTCATTCAAGCCTAATATTCAAATATAACCCAAACAATGCCCCATTTAATCATTGTTGAGTCTGCAAATTGAGGCGTTCATAATGATTAAACAACCATCGCATGTCTTTACTCGGGACTTGCACCACTTAAAACATCCGTTGTTTAACTAAACCATTGCACTAACCCACGATTTTTAACGTTAAATAATTGTCTACTATATAATCTTCTCTTAAATCCTTCGGCCAAGTACCTTAGCAATTTTAATCCTCCGAGCTTCCAAAATCCCAAATTTCCTAGAATCCTTAGAATTCTCTTGCTTTCAATTCTCGCCCCTTCTTCCCAATCTTCTTCTCATTCTTCTTCCAAACTCAATGGCACCTAAAATTGTTCAACCTGCATATGAGTCCGGTGAAGGGATTGCTACCATGCGCCATTTGCTTAATGGCCTTCATCACCTTTAGGCTGGCCTCAATACTTTTATTTTCTTCGAGGAAGTAGGAGTACATTCTCTAGGATCTACCTGGACTTCCAAGGTCTCATTGCCGTGGAGAACAGTATGCCCAAGGCCAACTGGTTCACTCCCAACCCGTACTTGGCTGAGTTGGGCATTTCGGCCTCTAAGTTATTGATCCACTGCTGTGGCTTTCCTTTGATGAAGGATGAAGGCTGAACTCAATGAATAAACAAACTCGAGCCTACTTTCAAGCACAAATGGATGAAAAATGGCATATATGAGCTGATAATGCTTTCTAAGACCACCGTAATTGCTAAGCCTGAGTTGCTCACCACGGCCCTTCTCTTCTAGAATTCGGGGACAAACACCTTTGATTTCAGGATGGGTCCCATGTCCCTGACCATTCTTGATATGGCTCAAGTTTTCAGGCTAAGGCCCTCGGGTAGAGTCATGGACGTTACCAAGGACTGGGCTCCTTCTTCTTGCTCAACTACTGAGAGCTTGGGCACCTCTAATCCTATAACTCAGCTAGACTACAATTCCTCTACTTTTAAGAGTTATGAGACTTCCTTCACGGGCTTTATCCATTTTGTCAAGAAGACTTTTAGGGCCCTCATCTTCTAATGCCAACAAAGATCAAGAGCACATGTACTTCCTACTGTACTGGCTCAATAAACATGTCTTCCCCAACAAGTCTAATGGAGTAAAGGTTGAATGGATCCCTTTAGTGGAAGCTCTGCATAATTTTGATGATGTGGCCATGTGCCCTTTCCTCCTCGTTCACCTTATCATCTTCTCTATGAGATGACCCGAGGCATTCCCTTTGAAACTAACCTCAATGGGCCAACCTGGATGCCCCAATTATGGTTACAGTGGCACTTCCTCGAGCTTCGGGATCCCAATCTGGAGTTCCCTGAGGGAGTGGCCCCTGCCTGCATTTTAGCTGAAGCTTTACCTACTAACCATTCTACCTTCTCCTGCATGTACTTCTTCAGATCTTGTTGTACTCGGGCATATTTGGAGTGGGAAGCTTCAGTACTAATGATGTATCCTTGGTTCTCTGACCACGCTTATCATTTGCATCCAACCAAGGGATCTGGCATGAGGAGTAAGGAGTGACCACTATGAACGCGGGTTGGAAATTTATCATCCAAACTTTTGCAACTGGCAACTAGGCTTCAGGCAAGCTATTCTAGTCCCGTTCTTTGACTCTATACATTACAACACCTCCTTCCATCTCCGTTCTCCAGAAGGAGGCACCTTTCGGGCTGCCCAACGCAGTCTTGAAGTCATGATCAAGATTACTCGAAAGCCCATGGTGCTAAACTTTGAATGTGCTTTAACTTTCTCCACTTGGTGGAAGACCAAGTGGGCCCAGAAGTATGAAGGGGGTCTCAAGGAGTCTCGTGACCGCATCTTTGGTCATTTATCCATCAAGTCCTATCCCAAGCCGAGTGAGCTTGAAAGCTAGAAAGAGATGATCCACCAAAAGAACCAACTTCTCCTAATAGGTACCTTTTATTCTTGTAACTTGTATTTATGAAATTTTTATCATCCTACCCTCTTCTAATCTCTTCCTTGGTTATTTTGAACATGCAGCCCAAGGCAACACTGAAGAAGTGGATATCGAGCTAAATGAAGAGGCTGGGGACGTCTTTGTCCTCCAAGAAGTTGTAGCCAAGGCTGCGAGGCAAGGCGCTGGAGAGGGTGGAGACATCTCTGAACTTTTTGGAGAGTCTGAGGCTAAGGTCGAGCCTGAAGTGAAGGTTCAGGCTACTTGACGAGCAAGAACAACCGTGGTAGAGACTTCGTAGTCCAAGCCAGAAGAGCGACCTCGAGCCCAACTCTCTATACCAGGTTTGTGGGCAACTCCTATCAAGAAAAGAACTAGAGCTCAATCTTCCAAATCCTCCAAGTCTTCTGCTCCTATAGCTGAGGCTAGCAGGAAAAAACATAAGGCTTCCAGTAAGTGAATCTTGCTTCAACCCTCTTTTCTTACCTGCATTTTTATGTTAAGAGCTAACAACTCCATCTTCTTTGAAACCAGGGCCTCAAGCAACCAAGAAGGCCACTTTTGTATCAAGGAAGAGCCATATCTTCTTGATTCCACTCTTAAAGAGCTGGAGGTATGGCCTGCTTCTTAAGTTATCTCTTTAAAGTTTTCCCTTTTCTCTTTTTTTTTTTTTTAATTTTTAATTTTTTTTATATTGATTTTTTGCCCCACTGCCTGAAACAGGCCATAAGGGAAGAAATGATCTCTCAGCTTGAAGCTTCTTCACCTTCAGCCCGAACGGTACAAACCTTCCCTCCTTGGGCTAAATCTTTGAGGGTATACTTTTTCTCACTCTTGGCTTTTAAACTTGTAACTTTATTACTTTGGAAGCTAACAATTGACTTTCACTCCTCTGTAGGCCAAGGCGGGAGAACCTGCGTCTTCATTCGGGCAAGGCTCAACTCCCAAGTATTCCATTCGTCCCCATGCATTGGTAGGTGACTCCAACTTCGCATTTCAATCCAAGTACTGGGGAGATACTGCATTTTGTGAAGGATAATAATAACTTAGTGAGCATTTTTATCTTACAATTTTTAGGCTCAACGTTCCTCTTTCTTTTATACTTATTTTCTTTGGCCTTTTTTCAGTCTTCCCCATCACAAGAGTCACAACAACCAATCGCAACTACATTTAGGGAGCCCATAGTCCTTGAGATCCCACAGAGTTGGATGATATTTCTTTAAAAACTTAGCATTAACTAGATGCCTTTGCAAGTTCCCCTCAAAATCTGCTAAGTAATATCCCCCCTTATCCAGCACTTGGTTGATAATGAAGGGACTTTCCCAAGTAAGGCTCACTTCCCAAAGCCTCTAACTTGAG